CGGTTCATTTCCAAATTGTCAGATCGCTGCAAACCATTTTTTGACACAATACGAAGCGATGGGAGACAAGTTTGGGGGGATGAACAGCGCCCAGAACCCTCCGGTCTTGTCAGCTCCCGAACCAAGAGAAAAACTATTTTTAAGTAGAGTTCTGATCCGTTGTAAAGAGGGAAAGCAATATGCAATGTTCTATGTTAGCAAAACGATGACTAAGGCCGAACGACGATATTCAAAGGCCGAGTGGGTGATACTCTCGCTAGTACATGTGAAAAAAAAGCTCAAGCATTATTTTGAATCCCATCCTATCATCGTTCTAACCACTTTCCCTATCAGAATAATCTTGCATAAGCCAGACCTCTCAGGGAGGATGACGAAGTGAGCCATAGAGTTAAGCTCATTTGACATGACATATAAACCCAGAACGGCAATCAAGGGGCAAGCAGTGGAAGATTTCTTACTGGAATGTGATTCAGACGACATGGAGGAAGACCTTCGAGGTTGCTTGTGGAAACTCTTTGTCGATGGATCCTCAAATCAGATGGGGGCAGGCATTGGGGTCAAACTGCAGCCACGAGAAGGCACGTCCCTAAGTCAAGCGCTCCGACTTGAATTCAGAGCCACTAACAATGAAGCAGAATACGAGGCACTACTGGCTGGACTTAAGCTCGCCAAAGAGCTGAAGGTCAGGAATTTGACCGTCTTTAGTGACTCGCAGTTAATTGTCCGGCAGGTGAATGGTAAATATGAAACCAAGGACGAAACGATGGAAGCATATCATTCTGCTGTTATGCGAGAAGTCAAAAACTTTGAAAATTTTGAATTCATCCAAATACCGAGAGAGCATAACGAAGATGCCGATCGGCTAGCATGTAGCGCCTCGGGTTCTGGAGAGACATTGGCAAGGGTGATTCCAGTTGGTATACTGAACCAGCCATCCATTTTGAAAGAACCTTCGGGCCCAGATCCTTGGCAAGTAAATGTTATTCCATATGAGGCAAGTTGGATTGATCCGATTATAACTTATATTCGGGATGTTACTCTGCCTGAGCAAAGAGATGAGGCTAGGAAAATCAAATCGAACGCTGCAAAGTACGCCATAGTGCATAACTAGTTATACAGGAGATCTTTTTCTGGGCCGTACTTAAAGTGTGTTACCCCCACAGAGGCTCGGCAGATATTGCGAGCTATTCATGAAGGTGTGTGTGGAAATCATTCAGGGGGAAGATCTTTAGCGCACAAAGCAATGACGCAAGGGTACTTCTGGCCGAACATGTCACGAGATGTGGAAGAATTCTCCAGAAGATGCGATAAATGCCAAAGGTTCGGACCATTAATCCACCAACCACCTGAGGACTTGCACGTGATGACCACACCATGGCCTTTCGCACAATGGGGGATGGATGTGGTTGGTCCTCTGCCAACTGCAAGAGCTCAGAATAAGTATGTATTGCTGGCAACAGATTACTTTACCAAATAGGTAAAAACAGAACCATATCCAAGCGTAACGTAAACCCATCAAGCAAGTAAGAGAATTGCTGGAAGAATATGGAATTAACCAAAAGTTGGCAGCAGTAAGTCATCCCCAGGCCAATGGACAAGCAGAAATTACGAATAGAATAATTTTCGCTTGTATCAAGAAGAAACTGGAAGACCATAAAGGGAAGCGGCTAAACACTTCCTTCTGACTCAAAGACTTGGCAATTTTGACGTCCTTGGGAGTCCACATGTTGTTGAAATATGCCATGGCAGTGGGAGCATCCTTGAACATGGACTCGTTCGGCATAACAACAGATCCGTCCGATCTGGCAAGCCGGGGGGACCATGGAACTGTCATAGAAGTAGAAGGGGTGGCTACGCCAGATCCGGTGGGGGTAGTTGCTCTGGGAGTAAGAACTCTACCCGGGGGAGGAATCGGCGCAATTGGCTCAGAGGTCCGAATCCTCTTTGATAGAGAAACGTCATCGGGGCTAACCTCACCCTCAGGTTGGGGCCTCTTCCCTGCTCCCTTGCCTTGAGCAGAGGCGGAGGGGGCAGAAGAGTTCTGGACTTGAGGTGCAGTATCCAGTTTGGAGGCGGATATGGTAATTGCCGGACGATCGGCTGTCACAATCGGAGTGGAGCTGGAATTCGTGGCAGAAGATAATGCAGAAGCTGAAGTGGAGGCGGCTGCAAAAGCAGCAATAACCTGGGAGGATTCTTCTTCCTGCTGAAGGAAGGAATCCTAAGCTGACTCATGTTGGAGCCTAGGCGAGAGATGTCACAGAGGTTGTCGGTCGTGAGGAGTTCTGGGCAGGAAGGGATGTCGTTCAGGACGTATTTCTTCAAATAAGTGAACCTATCCCTGTAAATACTGTAACTAAGTTCATTATCTTGTGGGATGCCCAAAGAATCACACAGAAACGAACAGAAGCGAGGCATGCAGATTTCACATGGACAGTCTGTTTTATGTGTTTTGAACTTCTTGTAAGAAGAGACAGAGCATTCGCCAAAGGCGTTCGGGATTGGGTAGTCCTTGGCAGATGGAGTGAACCAGGCCCCCTGAACCCCCATAATGCCCTTTTTCCACCCTTTCTCGAACTTAATTTTGTCCGTACAGATGGATCTCCCCTCAATAGGGTAGAAGTGGTAAAAGTCTTCTTCTAATTTAATTTTGCTGACCTTGTAACAGAGGAGTAGATCGATTATATCAAGATCTAAGCCTCTGTCACGGTTCAAAAGAAGCAGAACGGACAGAACCCTAAAGAAATTTGGGTTAACTTGAAGAGGCGCAAGGTTTAGCCTATTGAACACATAACAGATGAAAGGGTGTAAAGGAAACCTAATAAGATTAAGATGATGAAGGGTGAATAGGGTTTCACCAAAAAGAAGGCCAGCGCCGGTTCTTATGTTTACATTTTTGGGGCATTCCCTAATATGAATATTGGAAGGGAGTTCGAGTTTCATGCGAAGGATATCTAGATCCATGGGCATGATGAAAAATAACTACAATCCTGGAAAGAATATGTAAAGATTTGGAAAAGAAAAAGGAGGAAAACTAACCTTGAGGAGGTTGCAAGTTGCAAAAGACACTGCAAAGAGGTTGAGGATGAAGAACGTACCCTTCACTGGATTCGCCGGAGTAAATTCGACTTGACCGGAGAAGAAAATATTTGCCCTGAGAAAGTGAACTGGGTTGATTAACAATGAGATGCAAAAGAGACAACAAGAGAAAGTTTGATCGTAGAAAGATAATATTTAAAGGGAAAGTGGTCCCAGTAACCGAGACGTCAGGAAGCCGAAGGGATTCGAATTTCAAAAGAAAGCGTTAATTCCGAGACCAACTACTCGGCGCTTCACGTGATCCTCTCGAGTTGTCAAGTCATCATTAGCCGTCTTTTCATCACTGAATCCGTAAATAATCACGCCCTCATTAATGAGGGAGTGATTATGGGGGCAGTTGAAGACGTGAAATACGGCATGGGCCGGATCTGACCCACATAACGGGATTTGGTCCTAAATATTGACCTAGATCCAAACCCAGTACCCAAAAGGCTGACCCATCAATGAAGTTAGAAGCTGAAGGCCCCCAAAGAGGAATTAGGCCCATAACTGAATAACCTCAAGGATAAGCCCAAGGGCTGAAATCAGTTAAAGAGTGGATAGAGTAATTGTAACCGTCTATAAATAGACGGAAATGAGAGGGAATAGGGGTCGAAAAAATTGTTTTGAAGAGCATAGTTTCTCTCTCTAGATTAGGGAAAATTATGTGTATCTTCAGAGACAAATTGCTAAAAAGATGAATAATACAAGAAATTATACGCACTCTTTTTATTTTAATAGAGGTGTTTCTTGCACATTTTTATATAGCAAGAAAGTTTTTTGCACTTTAACCCTATTAAATATTATGGGCGTCTCAAAACAGGCTTCTAAGCCGGAAAGTCATTTGCCAATAATAAAGAGCGTTTGGTAAATTTTTTGAAAATGGACTTTAAAAAAGTTTTAGTGATTTAGAAGCCCGATTGACCAAAGGCAATAAAACATGATTCCTAATCGACTTCCCACAAATTACACACTTTTTTAAGTAATAAATATAAAATTCCTATATTATCTATTATTTAACATTTTAACCTGTTTCCATTTTTGAATTTCATTGCAAACTTTTATCTTTCTATTTTTGTATCATCTTCTTCCTTCATTCTCTACCCAAAAAAAATAATAATAATAAAATAATGCTCAACAAAATTTCACAAAACTTTATTGAAAAAATATTGTTGAAAAACGATTCAACAAAGGAAAAACAAAAAGATTGAGGAATTGTAGGAAAAAATACTATTAACTCCTATTTGACTTCATAGTCCAAAGAGTTTCAAGATTTATGAACTCTCATCCAAAATTCAATCCTATGTAGAATTCTAAATAATTTTTCTTTCTCTCTCAAAAAAAAAAAAAAAAAAAAAAAGTGATTTTTTTTTCTTTTTTTTTCTTTTTCCATCTCTTTCAACTCTATCATGTAGTCAAATAAAAAAAAAAAAAAAATTCTACCTTATAAAATGGGTTGAATTTGTATACCCAGATCTTCACTATACCAATTAATCGTTGCTACATCATTAACAATTTCACTCCATCACTTTAATTATGATTTTTTTTTTCTTCCCTTCTTTGTACATTATTATTTTATTTTTTTTCTTGAATTTCTTTATACATTTCAATTCAACTCTTTACTATTATTTAGGATATAATTGTCAAGTTAAATTCTGTTAATAGTTAAAAGAGGTTCAAAAAATTTACTTACCAAACAATTTTTATTTGGTTATAAATCACTTTCATCAAAATGCATTATTCAAAGCCGATTCAGTAGTAGTAGGAATTTTAAAAACTAAAAGCTTGACCGGACAAAATATTTTTTTTTTGCACTTATCACTATAAAATATTGTATACATTGACGAACTAAGCTAGTAGTAAGTAGTAACTCATAGAAGCAGAACATATACATATATATATATATATATATATGTACGTACCCATTTGCTGCATCTTCTAAATCGAGCCCGCTTAGATTTGTAGCTTCTTTCAGATCAGCCCTCCACCTCTGCACCCTTTCCATCTCCTCCTCGAGATTTTTTTCATGTTGTTCAAATGCTTTCGCAAAACTTCCCTTCCGATTTTGAACTTCCGATGCCTTGACATCATAAAAGATGGGCAAAACTATTAGTCCTTTGGTCCTCCTGCACACAAGGATCTCTACCAATTCATCCAAGCACCATGATGAATTAGCGTAGTTTTTGGAGAAAATGATCACAACAATGCTGGATTCATTGATACTTTTCCGGAGATCAAAAGAAATGGATTTTCCTTGCTCAAACCTCTCATCATCTTCGAAGGTCCTGATTCCTCTCTGTTCCAGAGCTGTGTAGAGATGCCCCACAAAACTTTTGCGAGTGTCTGCGCCTCGAAAACTCAAGAACACTTCATATTCAGATCGACACAGTGAAGAAGATGAAGAAGCCATAGATGTGTGCCAAATTACTCAAAGCTATAGATCGGAGAGCAATTAGTATATATACAAATATATATATATATATATATATATATATACATATGCCTCTTCAATTCTTAGCCATTAAGCTGAATTTCCTCCCGCTTCAAAAGTACACATAAAGATGAGGAATTTGTTTGTGAGTTTCCATGAATCTTCCTTCATTTATTGATGATATTGACTACAAGCTATTTCCTTCGCTGCTTTCTAGATTTCTGGAGTCAATTAGTCGACACGCGTAATGTGTGCGCGTATTGACCCAGTAATGATGTGAAGGGTTGTATTATTATATTTTCTTTCAAGTTAAAATTACAAATACATAAACTTTTAGAGCTTAATTTACAATTTATGGAATCAAAGTCTGAAATTTCAAAAAGGAAAAAAAAATTAACAACTAAAATGCAAACGTGAAAATGGAAAAATACTATCTATTGTATTATTATGTTTAATTGTGAGAAAAAAAAAAAAAAAAAAAAAAAAAAAAAAAGTTCAAAACTTGTTTGTTCAAGTAGGAACCACATCTGTGTACAGATAGTAATTTTTATGCACTTTTTGTGGCTTTGGCTTGAAATGAGCAATGGACTTTTAACTCCATGTGTAAATTATGCTAAAAACCCTTGTATTTGTAATTTTTCTTCTATTTTTTGGTTTTTCTCTCTCAAGGTAATGAAAAATGGTTTTGCATCAGGCGAATGAGCTTGCTTTTCGTTGAGTCCATTATCTAAAATGGTTATGGGTAATTTACACAAACCTCGCATATGGTTTGTCATAATTATAGGGACCTCTCCTCCTATTTTGAAAATTACTCGGACCTCCCGTAAGAATGAAAATAATCTACACGGACCTCCCTTTTGTTAGAGTCAACGTTAGTCAACGACAAAAATTGATGACGCCGGCTACTAATTTTACTAAATTTCCTAAAATAACCTTGTTTATATATACTTGATATTATATATTAGATGTTGATGTTGAAATTCCAAAAATACCCTAATCCTCTCCATTATGTATACAATATTATTTACAAACCTGGCTGAGCCAATTATGAAAAATGAAATCTTCCCAAATGATGATATGGACTTTTAACTCCAGTGTAAATTATGCTAAAAACCCATGTATTTGTAATTTTTCTTCTATTTTTGGTTTTTCTCTCTCAAGGTAATGAGAAAAGGTTTTGCATCAGGCAAATGAGCTTGCTTTTTGTTGAGTCCATTATCTAAAAAGGTTATGGGTAATTTAAACAAACCTCCCATATGGTTTGTCATAATTATAGAGACTTACCCTTCTATTGTGAAAATTACTCGGACCTCCCCTAAGAATGAAAATAACTTACACGGACCTCCCTTCTGTTAGAGTCAACGTTAGTCATCGACAAAAATTGATGACGCCGGCTACTAATTTTACTAAAATCCCTAAAATACCTTTGTCTATATATACTTGATATTATATATTAGATGTTGATGTTGAAATTCCAAAAATACCCTCATCTTCTCCATTATGTATACAATATTATTTACAAACCTAGCTGAGCCAAATATGAAAAATGCAATCTTCCCAAATGATGATATGTAGACATGCTAGCAAAGAATTTGAATCAAATTATAAACACACTATCAATATAGTCTCAATTATCTCATTTTAGTCATACCCGAATGGGGCAGTTGGTGGTCGACTGTGGTGGGGATTGGTTGGAGGTGAAGTGGGTTGGGTGAATGGTGAATCATTGTACATGAAATATATATATATATATATACACACACACACACACAAAGATGGAGGAAAAGTCTTTAGAATCTTAAAGCAGCCGTGGGTGTATCATAAGACTTTGATTTTGACGATGCACTTTTGATCAGCGATTCCGGGGAACGAGGTTTGATCCATCGCAACATGATTTACCCTGATGGGGAGCGAGTCGATCTCCAAATTCTTTATATTAATTCGATTGATGTTGACGAGGAATCTCTGCGACCATTATCTCGCTCCAAAAAAGCGGGGTTTAGACCTTATGGTGATGGTAGTGGCTGCGGCATACAGATTTGATATATATAGAGTTTTGTGGTAAGTGTACCTCTGTGTTTTGATTTCTGTGAGTTGTATTCCTCATTCCTCATTATAAGCTTGTGTGTGTGTGTGTGTGTGTGTGTGTGTGTGTGTGTGTGTATAAAAGAATGTATAACACCGCCGGAGGATGCTTGCCATTAGATTGAAACCAATGAAATCCATTGATGCCCTATGCTTTCGAATTGAGTCTCTAAAATTGTTGCTCGATCTCACCGGATTGAAACGTGCCCAAACTGAAACTTGTGAAGCTCTTCACTGAACTGAAAATTCTTTGTTGCTTCAGTACTTTTCTGATCACTTGCTGGACTGAAATCAACTAATCACGCTTGAATTGTGGTTCATCGAACCTACTATGTTCTCTCTTGTTGCCTCTGAAATTGGAAATTTATTAATATATATATATACACACACACACACACACACATACACACTGGGATATTTAAGTCATTTATCATTGAAAATTGAGGGTATTTTAGTAATTTTGACAGCTCCGTTAGTGTATTTAATTGTCCGTCACACATAAGAATGATCCATGTAGATTATTTTCATTCTTAGGGGAGGTTCGAGTAATTTTGAAAATAGGAGGTGAGGTCCCTGTAATTATGACAAACCATAAAGGAGGTTTGTGTAAATTACCCAAAGGTTATTATTTGGTCATGAATGCTTTACACTGAAAGCTTTTGCTCCTAGGATGCTTTTAATTCTTTGAAAAAATTCATCTAATGTGTTTTTAAAATTCTTTTAGATAAATACTTACACTAGCTCTTTCAAATCATCAAGGGAGTTGAATATTTACAATATTCACTTCCTCTTTAGAAAAGAGATGTTAGGTTCCCACCATTGCAAAGTCTAGAGAACGGCAGATATACACAATCTTTATCTCCGTATATAAGTAATACAACCAAATGTTAAATCGTTGTAACCTCCCATTATACAAATTGAAACATAAAATCCACTTCAACCAAATTTTATATTTTTAAGACAAACCTTATGTATAAACTTCAAGTGTATTCACCGCATTCAACATACTCGACCTAAGATGTGTTAATATTGATGCATCTTCAAACATGATATTTCCAAAGATCAATCCATACTTTAGACACTCGAAATACCCAATTGAAGCATAAAATTACAACTCCATATATTGATTTTGAATATAAAAAAATATATATATGCAAACACACAATTACATTTCCTAACATAATCTTCACAGAGAAATTGATTAACTTGTTCAAGTCCTTAAACTTTGAGCTTGATTAGATTTTTGTCATGCTAATTATGTTCAGAGTGCCATCTTATACGTTTATGTGACCCCCAGACCACCAAGAGGCCCAGTTGTGCCAGACCCAAGTCACCAACTTAAATGTTTGGGTCCTGTCCTCTTGTGTTGTATTGTGTCTCAGAAGGCCCAAGTCATTACAAGTTGAAACACTTCCTCGAATTTGTAAATTTTTTTTTTTGTCAAGTGTCTGACTATTATTAAAATATTTTCAATGAATTATATCTACCTAAGTGTAAGGAAAAATTTAAGTAATATATAGCAAGGAATAAATGTTTAGTAAAAAATTACCCAAATGCCACGTGGAAGTTGTCAATTGTGTGAAAGATCAAACAGGACAAAATGCAAACAAGGACACCGTGTCAAACCCAAGCCACCCAAGTGGCAAACAATTATATTCCCTCCAATTCTTCTCACAAAGTTACGATAAGGGCGTGCATCGACATCGACAATCAGTGGTCCACCACACTTGGCACAATCAACACGTGTCATTACAATTTGATGGGTACCTCAGGATACACCACGTGTCATCGCAGTCATGATCAGTCTTTTCAGTTCCTACATTATTTATGTTGACTAGATTCTCATTACTGCCACGTGTACCTGCCACGTGTACCTTCCCAAAATCATTTTTAGAGAAAATGGCGTCAAGTGTAAGTTAGGATTATTTCCAAGACATTGATTTTTATTTTATTTTTTATTTGAGTGTTGTCAATATTGTGAGTGAGTGGGACTACTGTAGAAAAAAAAAATTCTTTGAATTTATTTATGTTGCTTAAATAAAAATATTAAAATTAATGGTAAGATTGGGTAAATAAAATAAGGTTAATATTCAAAGTATCTAGAGAAATTATGAGTGAAGCTTATTTATAAAAAAGTTAAATAAAGTAAATTTAGGTAGCATAAACATAAACAACTAAGTACCATAGTCTTATAAATGGACAAGTACAAAATAAGACTTAGTTGTTCATAAAGTAATTAATTGAGGGGGTGATTGAAAGTAGTTACTTTACTAAATTCATGTCCAGCGAAAATAATGATGTTGCGTAACAATAAATATGTGAGGAGAATACTATATATAATACTTATAAAATAATAAAAAGTAAAAATAAAAAATAGATGGTGTAGTCATATTCAACCTAAATTAATTGTACAGATTCAATACTTTAATTTGTGTATTGGTATTATCTTTATTCAATTGTCTCTTGATCTGGGACGAACCTACATGTAATTACCCGTTTTTTTTTTTTTTTTTTTTGTTATATAGTAATAAACCCTTGATAAATTCATTTTTTCAACTATATACCCAAAAAAAATTACTTTGCCCTCTTAAAATTACTAAAAATTTCATTATCGGTCCCCTCTCCTAATTTTTTTGGATCCGTCACTGCTCTTGATCATATACGAGCAAAAATGATATCGTAAAAGAACTTAATGTTTTCTTTTTATATAATAGTTTTAAAGACAGTGTCTCATTAGACAAAGATTCTAGTTTAATTTTGTCCGATAATCAGTCTCTATAATTTTTTTAAATCTTCTATTTTACCAATTATGTTATATCACCATATACTGTTTGTTAAAATAAATGTGCATGTGGATACTAGACCTACACAAAATGGTAAGGTTAGAATTCTCTAGTTTTACTGGACCTATGGAGAGATCGGTTCAAATTCAATTAAAGATATACATTACAAATTATTAATTTAAAATAGTCGATCTCACTTCACCACCGAGTTCAAATTCTACAAAAATCTTGTTAAAATTGAAATTAGTTTAGAATGACAATAATCGACATGGAAACAATTTTGGATTGACGATAATCCAATTACTATTTGTAGGTGCAAAATTTCGC